TGTTTACAGACTGTATAGAGGACCAGTACCTGTTTGTTTATGTTTGTTTGTTTGTTTGTTTACAGACTGTATAGAGGACCAGTACCTGTTTGTTTATGTTTGTTTACAGACTGTATAGAGGACCAGTACCTGTTTGTTTGTTTGTTTACAGACTGTATAGAGGACCAGTACCTGTTTGTTTATGTTTGTTTGTTTGTTTACAGATTGTATAGAGGACCAGTACCTTTTTGTTTATGTTTGTTTGTTTACAGACTGTATAGAGGACAAGTACCTGTTTGTTTGTTTGTTTGTTTGTTTGTTTACAGACTGTATAGAGGACCAGTACCTGTTTGTTTGTTTGTTTGTTTGTTTGTTTGTTTGTTTGTTTGTTTGTTTGTTTACAGACTGTATAGAGGACCAGTACCTGTTTGTTTATGTTTGTTTGTTTGTTTGTTTACAGACTGTATAGAGGACCAGTACTTGTTTGGACGGGACTCCGGGTGTCAGTATGTTCTGGATGATCCTGAAGAAAAGGGATCTAAAAAGTTCAGAATCTACAGTAAGAAACACTTCAGGATCTACAGGGTGAGTTCTGACCCGCTTTAGCTCAGAACCAAACGGAACCTGAACCACACTCTGGTACCTCTGTGGTTCTGTCAGTCATCAATACATGCGGCTTTGTAGGCACAATGTTGGGAATGAAGTCTACCTGTCCTCCACCTGTCTGCCTGTCCTCCTGTCTGTCCTCCACCTGTCTGTCCTCCTCCTGTCTGTCCATCAGGATGGTTCCGAGGTCTTCTTGAAGGACTACAGCAACAACGGGACGTACGTAGACGGAGTCCGGGTCGGTCTGAACAAAATGCTTCCTCTGACCAACAACGCCGTCCTTTCTCTGTCTGAGCCTCGAAACCGAGGTGAGACCCCTGACTCACCTCGCCTGTCTCACTTGTCAGACCCCTGGCTGTCTCACCTCCTGTCTGTCTGCAGTGTTCGTCTTCATCAACCTCATGTCAGACAGTCAGTCCAGTTTGCCTGAAGACCTGCAGAACAAATACGTGCTGACTCGACAGATCGGAGCGTGAGTTTTATTCAACACTGAAAAACAAAACGTCCTGATTTCTTGGAGACAAAGTCCTAAAGATCAAAGATGATCTGCTTCAAAAGATGAAAGGATCAGATCTAAATGTCTGTTGAGTCTCAGAAATGTGGCTCTGATGTTTGTTCAGTGCAGATGTTTTTGTTGTCTGTTCCAGCTGTGCTCAGGTTTTAAATCTGATCCCCGTGTTTTTATTTTTATGATTTTTATTTTTTTCATTCAACTTTATTTCTACAGTTAGTCCCACTGAGCCTCAGGGACTCATTTACAGAGAGACCTGGTTTTAACAAAGAGTGATGACATCAATGGACAATCATAAAAGAAATTATACAAATTGAGAATAACAAGTAAAAAATAAAATGGCATTTAAAAGAAAATGTTTAAAAAAATCTAGATTATAAGGTGAATGTAGAAAACTAAAAACAAGAACTTATCAGATGTTTGAAGCCACTTACAGAGGTCAAAGGTCGAGAGCTTCAGGTCTTTTTACAAGATATTCCAGGAAACAGGAGCGGAGTAGGAGAAGGTCCTTTTGTCTAGTTCAGTCCTCACTGAGGGAACACTGCAGGTAATGATGTCCTGAGAGCGCACGCTGTAGCTGCACTCACACAGAGACATGTAGGAGGAGATGTATGAAGGCAGCAGACCAGGAAGTGATTTAAAGATGAACATGTACCAGTGGGAGAGTCTGTGTGAAGTTAATGGTGACCAGTTAACCAGTGAATACTGGGTGCAGAGGTGGGTACAGTAGTTACAGCCAGTTATGAATCTTAGTGCACCATGATAGACAGCATCCAACATCTGCAGCATCCAACATCTGCAGCATCCAACATCT